ATTATTTAGAAGAGCTTCAGATCCTTCAGCAAAACTAACCTCCTCAGTATTGTCATGGCAACCGACCTTTAGATTTATACTCATATTCCTGTTTCCATGGATCACTGGCTATCATCCTGTTCAGAAGGCCTCAGTGTCTACAACAGAGACATTACCATGAGCTCTCAGTATTAAATGTGTATGATACCTCAACGTTTCATCAAACAACAGTTAAAGCCGGGCTCCCATAGCTTATGCCTGTAATCAGGAAGCTGAGATCTGAGGATCCTGCTTCAAAGCCAGCCTGGGCACAAATGTCTGTGAGACTCTTTTTTTTTGGGGGGGGGTCCGGTCGTGGGGCCTGAACCCTGGGCCTGGGCACTGTCCCTCAGCTCTTCAGCTCAAGGCTAGTGCTCTACCACTTGAGCCATAGTGCCACTTCCGGCTTTTTTCTTTTTGCTTATGTGGTGCTGAGGAATCGAATCCAGGGCCTTGAGCATGCAAGGCAAGCGCTCTACCACTGAGCCACCTTCCCAGCCCATGTCTGTGAGACTCTTATCTTCAATAAACCACCAGAAAACCAGAAGTAATGCCGTGGTTCAAGTGGTAGAATGCTGGCCTTGAGCTGAAGAGCTGAGGGACAGTGCCCAGGTCCAGAGTTCAAGCCCCAAGATGGACAAAAGAAAAAAAAAAACCAGTTAAGATCTAGGTGGCACACAGAAGTCAGAATCTGAGAATCACACATTAGTATCCGTGAGACCACCCTCATGGAGGCTGACATGCAGTAAAGTCAGCAGCATATGCTATTATTATTGTGCTAACATTACCAAAGACAGAGCATTGTATGAAGTCATTTGTACAAATGAAATAAAAATGGCATACTAGATTTCAAAAAGCCTTTTTTTCCTCTCCCTTTCTTTTCTTCCTCCCTCTCGCTCTTCCTCCCTCCATTTTTTTTTGGATGTGGTTAATTTATTCCAATACCTGGCTACTCACACATCCTGTGTGCTAGGCAAATAGATACCACTGACTATAAATCCAGACCTAATACATTATAACACTTCTTTTGGCTCACACTTACAATCCTAGCTACTACTTAGGAAGCTGAGATCTGAGGATTGAAGTTTGATGCCTGCCCAAGCAGAAAAGTCTGGCTTTAGACTTACCTAATGTGGAGCTCTTGCTCAAGAGGTAGAGTACTAGCCTTAAACAAAAAGAGCTCAGGCCCTGAGTTCAAGCCCCAGGACCAACACCAAACAAATGAATAAAAAATCATTGTTCTGTCACTGACAAATAAGGACTATTTTTTGCCCTGGTATATAATAAACTCTTAATTACTTATTAATTTATGAATAACACTGCTTATGGGGAATATAAGAAAGTATATAATTTCCTAATACTCTGTCTTTACCCAGTCTTGTAAAATGTCTTCAATAGCTTTATTATGTAAACTGAGATCATTTATTCTTATGAGATTGCTTATTATTTATATATTCATCCATATGTAGTCCAGTCATCTGTAACTACATTTAGATCATATAACATAAATGTATATAAAATATTTCCCTGATCTAACATTAAGAAGTTAATATAGAGAGATGGTGTTAGGAAAGTTCCTCTGACAAAATTAAAAGAAAAATGATCATTCTGCACACTATCACAGGTAACTTTCTTTCAGTAAATTCGGTCTCTTTTACCTTCTCCTATCCAAATCCTCCAAGGATGTACCAGCAGAGTGTATTGTGTTCTGCAAACTCAGCTGCTATGATATTGTCTTCTTCATTTCCTTGCTAGATTTTATTTTCAATCATGAACTATTTCAAACATTTAAAGAATTATAGATAATAATGTAACAATTATACATGGACTCCTCACCCACATTTAAAATGTTAGCACACAGCAATATCTCCTTCACAGATACTTTGAAAAACAGTGATTTCTTTATAGGATTCTTTTTCTTTCTTTTGGTCAGTCATGGGACTTGAACTCAGGGCTGGCTAAGCAGAGTTGTTCTTGTGATGAAAGGGTAACACTGATCAAAATGTATCATGCACACAAACTGACATGTTGAACTTAAATTCCTTTGTACAACTATTTAAAGATAATAACAAATTAATTTTCATACAAAATGTTTTACAAATAAATCACTTTCCAAAATGTTTTATGTATGTTCATCTCATTATGAAAAATCAGACTTATGAATAATTACACTGATATTAAATGAGGAAAAACATTCTAATAGTTACGATATGCCAAAATTCACTTATAAAGAATAATTTCGAATTATTATTACAAGCCAAATTTCTTCCTAATAGCTTGCCATATATTAAACTGATCTTTCTACTTGCAGAAATGTAAAATCTCATTAGGAAAGAAGTAATATTTTTAAGAGAAAAAAGATACTTTATTTAAATGTTTATTTAAATAACGAATCACTAAATTATCAAACCTTGCTTACTTAGATGGCTAAATTTTACAAAGGCATATAATCACTTCACCACCAAAGTACAGAATTTTCTTGACAATGAGGCAGCAAGATCAGAGTTCAGAAACCAGCCTACTGTGGATTGTAATTTAGCATTTACTTAGTTATCTTTTTGTAGGGGTAGAATTGTTTAACTAACACCACTGCATTAATTGGGTTTTCCAGGGAAGCCGAGTGCTAGTGGCTCACGTCTGTAATCTTAGCTACTCAGGAGGCTGAGATCTGCAGATCACAGTTCGAAGCCGGCCCTGGTAGAAAAGTCAGTGAGACTCTTATCTCCAATAAACTACTCATAAAAAGCCAGAAGTTGTGCTGTGGCTCAAGTGGTAGAGTGCTAGACTTGAGCACAAAAAGGCTTGGAGTCCGGGCGCCAGTGGCTCACCCCTGTAATCCTGGCTACTCAGGAGGCTGAGATCTGAGGATTCAAAAGCCAGCCGGAAAGGCAGGAAAGTCCGTGAGACTCTTATCTCCAATAAACCACTAGAAAACCAGAAGTGGCGCTGTAGCTCATGTGGTAGAGCACTTGCCTTGAGCTGAAGAGCTGAGGGACAAGAGTTCAAGCTCCATGACTGACAAAAAAAAAAAAAAAAAAAAGGCTTGGGGACAGTGCCAAGGCCCCTAGTTCAAGCCCCAGGACTGGCAAAAAAAGAAAAAAGAAAAAAAAAAAGAAAAAGATTTTTCTATGGAAAAGCATTAGTTTATGTACCCATCTGCATGATAAACACAAAAAATTATGGCTGGGTTTATGATAGAATAGTAATTAAAATAGTAATTAAAGTTACGATATTGGAAGAAAACAAGACTTTTATGTCAAACTTCAGAAGAATGGTTAATGATTTCTTAAGCTTAGAAGCAAAATACTTATGAAAGTTATATTAAGTACATTTAACTATATATATATATATATATATAAAGATTTTTGTGATGTTTGTGTAGGTGTTGTATATGTGTCTATAAAGTCCTACATTAAAAATTATATATGTATATATGTAATATAAGTGAAAGAAATCTATGATATTGATAGGAAAATTATGTGGAGAAAATAAGCCAGAAAAGCAGTTAATACTTCCTACTAATTCAAATTTCATTAATATGGTGTAAAATCTCCAGAAAGTAATTGTAGAACTATTGAAAAAGAAAAGGAAAACCAAGTTAGAGGTGATTTCTAAAAGTGCACATAACAAAAGGTGAAAACCACATATGGCAGCACATATACACACATATATCATTTTTTTCTGTATCAAACAGATCACTACTTTGTACAATCAACTCTAAAATATTTTGGATCTAATTAAATATTTTGGATCTTTCTAAAGGAGAACCTCCCTTGGCCATTTGCATGGCTGCCTTACAGCATCCTGGCTGTAGCTCAAAAGCCTGCCAACTTGATTACTTGCATGGTTATCAAAAGAAAAACGAAAAGTGAGATTAATTTTTTTTTTAAAGAAAACTACCTCAACAAATTTATAAAAAGCAAAATGATCAATTCAAGGTAATTAGAATGATAAGGAATGGGAGAGAGACAAGGAAAGCAAAACACAGTAAAGATGCAGAGCCTGCATAAAAGAACAGTGATCTCAGTGTGCCCTGCAAGGGAAAAATAATACTGTTATACCATTTATTTATTTATATTTTGCAGACGATCTCGTTAGGTAGCCAAAGTTGTCCTGGAACTCAGGATGCTTTTGTCCTAATCTCCCAAATGCTGGGTTTACATATCATTGTAGTACTATCTTTCCCTATTCAAATACCTTCATTCTTATTTTGTTCCAGTATTGGAGCTTGAACTCAGTTCAAGCCTCAGGCTCTCCTTTTGCTTTTTCAATCAACGCTGGTGCTCTACCACTGGAGTTACAGTTCCACTTCCTATCTTCATTTTTAAAATGGATAAAGGAGTTTAACAACACAGTTTACGAATACAATATATATTGGCCAATGTGATCCAGAACATTCTCACCCACCCCTCCCACCATGTACAATTTCTTAAAGATAATTCTTAAAACATTTAAAAACTAAATAAAATAGCTAAAAAAATAAATTGACATGTTGAAAAAGATAACATGGAAAAAAGAGGATTTTGATGTAGTCTATCCTTTTTTTTTTTTTGGTCCGGTCTTGGGGCCTGAACTCTGGGCCTGGGCGCTGTCCCTCAGCTCTTCAGCTCAAGGCTAGCGCTCTACCACTTGAGCCACAACGCCACTTCCGGCTTTTTTCTTTTTGCTTATGTGGTGCTGAGGAATCGAACCCAGGGCCTCGAGCATGCAAGGCAAGCGCTCTACCACTGAGCCACCTTCCCAGCCCTAGTCTATCCTTCTTAAAGCTTAAAAGACAATGCAGAGAATAGAGATACACATTGTTTATACATCAGCATTCTTCTTTAGGAATCTAATTACACTTCTAAAATGAAACAGCAAATCTCTTTTTCTCCCCACCCGTTTGAGGATGATTCAGAGTGTAATTCACTTTGGTATTGTGAATACTGTTCAATTCCATTCAAGTTTCACAGTTCATTCCTTTCCTCTCATGGTTACCTCACCTTGCACTTTGGACACTTCTGGGCATTCCTCTGCCCATGTTCAATTTCACTGGCCCAGTGACGCAACAGTTTGTCTCCTTTTTTGTACTCCTTGCAGTTAACACCTTCATGCCAAGGAGAATGGCACTTAAAACACCAGACGAATTGGCAAGTGGGGCACTGGATCTGCAGAAGAAAAAAAATGGCATGAGGTCCTGGAAGCTATTAGAAGATTGTGAAAGAGTCGGGTAAGGAGGCTTGATGGGGATGTTTCCTGATAAGTTGAAAGGTTGAGACTTAAAAATCCCTCCTGCCCAAGTCCCAAACTACAAGATAAGAAAATTCTGTCATTAAAGGAGGAAGGAATTTCTTTGGCAACAATGAAAAAACTTGTGTGTTCTAGAAGTCAATTTAGACTTAACAAAATCTTCCAGACTGGAGTGCATAGGAAAACCAGAAAGTTTTCAAGGCCCCAAATCCATACCATCTGGCAGCCTTTGAGCTCCCCCTTCCATTGATCCAACTTTCCAGACATCTTATCATTCTTCTTTAACCAAGGTTTCTTCATTTATGAAAGCAAAGCCTCACTGGTGTCTCATCAAATAAAAACACACAAGCAATGATGCATCGCTGCATTAGCACACATTGTGAAGCACCAGCTGAAATAATGGATACCCTGGTGTGTGACCAAAGGAAGGCTAGTAATAAAACAAAAAGTGTGGTAGGTCCAAATATTAGAAATGTATCAATATGGTGGTCCCATGGCATGCACTGAGGAAACTATCAGAAAGGCCTTCTTATATGCATAACTGCAAATGTCTGTCTGCCACTTGATATAGAATGTAGTTTATATCTGCTCTCCTTTATTTTGAATGACAGAGGAACATTCCACTCCCAAGGTCTATTTCTAGTCTTCACTCCAAAATCATGAGAATAATTAGCCTTTCTTAGCCCTACTTGATTAAAATGAGCTAATACAATGTCTCACTATGAATGACATTTTTAATGGACAATTCTTCTTTGTGCTCTTGAATATTACGTGTTTGTACCACAGGTGGATTTACTGACATTTTAAAGAATAGCTGGATTATTTTTTGATGAACTGAACATAATATCACCACTTACTTTATTGGATACCTTTTTTTAAAGATGAACTTCTCTTTCATATATTAACTGAGTGGCAGTTACAACTACAGCTCTCTTGCCTATAACTAAAAATGCTATGGTTTATATTTATCTCAAGAACAGATCATATTCTTCCTAGGAAAATATAAAGCCAAACTGCTTTTACTCTAAGCTTTATTTTTAAAAACAGCATTTTATAAATTTAAAATTTTTTCACACTAATTCTCTTAGATGGTGTTATAATTTGTTTATTTTATCCTCAAAATAAAGCTACTAACTACCTAAGACCATCACAGGTTAACATTTATACACAAGAAAACCAAGGCTCACAGACAGTAAATGGATTTCCCAAGGTAACAAAGCAAGTATCTATTAAGAGGGAATTTAAGTATGTTTGTCAGGCTACAAGGACAGCATACTTTTCATGATGCCAAAACATTTGCTCATATGCAACAGCATTCCTTCTGTGACCACTGACAACCTAAAATGTAGTAATAAAAGAAAGTAGTGTGGTTATTAAACTAGCCAGTGAGGCAGAATTTCGAACATTTCTCACCAAAAGTAAAATATTTTACTCACATAAGTTGGAAGACTCCTTAGTATATACATTTAAAATGATTTTACTATTCAGTCTCTTAAATATATGCTTTTGCCTTTTTAAAAATCACTAATGCTAAGTCACTGTTTAAAAGTGTAACTTTATAGTTATTGTAAGCATTATGCCCACCTTTGGTCCTCAGCTCCATCCAGACCTGAGCTCCTCCCAGCCCTGGAGTTCCTGCCATACAGCTGGCCCCTCCCTCTCCCTGCCCAGACCCACCTGAGCTCCCATCTACCTCACTTCCGACCCCCAGACCCTGCTGCTACCTAGATAGTGGAGGGTGCCATGGGCTCCCTCTCCAGGGGAAATACGGCTCCTCTAATAAACCTTGTAATAATCTTTCTCCTGTGCCTGCCTGTCTCTGCGTGGTCCCCTGGGATGGATGTGATGGATCCTTTCAGTTATTATTACAGTTTTGTACAAAGGGTTTCATAAGTCAGGTAATGAGGACATTTCTTTCTTTCTTTCTTTCTTCTTTTTGGATGTCACCCCTTTGTTTGCTTTGCCCCAGTTCCTCCCTCCCATTCCTGCCCATAAGTCACATAGTTTATTTTCCACACAGTGTATACTGAACAACACGAATGCATTAATTCACCCTTCTTCCCTCACTTTCGGTGCCTCTCTTTTGCCCCCCGTAAGCAAAATCAAACACCACCACTACTCAAAAAAACCCAAAAGCAAAATCAAACACCATCACTGCTACGATCACCAATAACAAAACCACCCATGCTTCCATTTTCTGGAATTTGTTTCAATAAATAGTATTTAAAATGTTCAGGGAAGTTACACCTCCCTTAAGGTTATCCTCTTTTAGTCTCTTTGTGTGTGAATGCCTAGAGTTCTGGATATGTTATCATGTCCAATTGTATTTTTGATCTAGTTTCCGAATAGGAGAAAATGTTTCTCTCTGAGCTTGGCTTACCTCAGCTTACCTCAGCATGATTGGTTCTAAGTCCATCCTAAAATACATGACTTTTTAAACAGAAGAATAGGTTGAAGTGGGTAAGTTTCAGAAAAATAAAACAGTGTTAATAATTCATTTTCTTGGGTCACTAAACAATGAAGAATCACTACCAAAATTACATGGGGCCTTCTTTTTGGATGTAATCTATAAAAATGGTGAAGAATTCAGAAAGATGGGGCTTTTTGTATGCATCTGTCATTATGTCAGAACACCTGAATATTTAATTGAGCTCTCTTTCTTCTGAATTTTCTGCATCAGTAGATTCTAGAATCGTTAACTAAAAAGCCACTTAAGTTTTCCATCAGTCTGGAGAGAAGAATGGATATAAAGATGCTTTGAAATGGGGTCCAGTCTCCCACTGTCAGACATCATTGGCTCAAGGATCTCTCTACTAGATGCTGAATTGTCACATCTGTGGATCTCTACTCAGGGACATTTAGAAATGTAGTAAAGGATAATGCCTTTTCCCCTTTCATTACTGGGGACCCAACCCACGCCCTTTTACATACTAGACAAGCACTTTACCACTTGAATCATTCCCCACAGTCTTTTCTAAATGTGTGACTCTCCAAAGGCACTAGAACAAAGGAATCCTACTGGATATCCAAACCAGAGACTTGGGCTCCATTTTTTTTCCCATAATAAAAAAGTCCTACCATCTATCCTGCCACAAATATTCATCACCATCAGAGACTTAGAGATAAACTGTAACAACAGTTATGGAGAAAGCTCTCAAGTGAATATGAGTTATTAACATTCAAACTTTAGTTGCTTATTATCATCTAATTAAAATAATTTTTAAAAAACCCAGCTAGCCTCACAACTTTGGTTTTCAAAGATGACATCTGAACTGTTTCAATGCTGACTTTTTGGGTGAAAACATTGTATCCATTATGACCATAACCATCTTCACGTTCCTCCTATAAACACAAACAAGACACAAATAGTGTATTTCCTCCATTTTTTTATTCAGTCATTCCACTCAAAACATTACACTTCCCACTCCAGGTCTACCACATGGAGTAATTATTTCAACACAAAAGCACACAAAATGCGGTCAGAGAACCAGTACCATCAGCATCCCCTGGGAACTGGTTGGAAACCAAGAAAATAGGAATCCCTTGGCTTACTGACTCAAGAGTCTAGCTGTTCTCCAGGCCCTCAGGTGATTCATTTCCATGATGGCACTGGACAAGGGCTGTTCTTTGCTATGTATCTCCGTTCTCCTGGTCACACATTTTGGACCAGGAATGGCGCCAAATAATATGTAACCACTGGTTTGGTACTACAGACAAGCTGTACTTAACATGAGCTTTGTGCAGCAGGGATGGTCATTGCTAATTGGAGATTAGCAAGGCAGATCTATTCTTTTCTCTCTTGAGGCATGAAATGGAGATACACATATCCTGCCATAGCATGGAGGTGAAGGCAGAGAGGAGTGGAGTGATAGAGTGAAGATCACTGGAGAAGGAACAGGCACTGACTTGTGCTCTCAGGTAACCAGAAGTGTCTGATTCTTCTGAGGTCAGCCTCAGAAGCTGTTGAGACTACTCTACTCCCCTGACCTTCCCACTTCCTGTGGGGCTAGAGTAAACCTCACCAACTAAAGTGGACCAGGAAAGAGCACATCTCTGCTTCTTATAATTGGAAACACTAATGAACACAGTTCACTGAAATCTTACCCTGGTTAAATGTTCGTTGCTTCAGTTGAGACTCCCACCTCCACACAAGCAGCATTAGTGCCATTATGTAATTTATGTTAGGCATGAAGATGTTCAACCTCCACAACAACCAACAGATTCACTGAGAGCAAAGACTGAATCTCATTCATTTTGTATTTATGGAGTAAAGAAACATAGAACTTCCAGCATATGGTAGACATTCAGTAAGATATTTGTAAAACAAATTAAGTGAATTCAAAGAAAAACTAAGATGTCTAATTACAACCAGTGGCCGACATGGCATCACCACTTGCTAGATTACCAGATGATGTTTACTAAATATTTCATCTTCTTGACATTTTGCTGAGCATCATGATTTATGCACAAACTCTTCTACAGGAGACATGGTTGCCAGTCTTTCAACAATAAAGTTGTTTGAGTTATATATAAGTCTTAATTAACTTGTCCTAGGGCACAAAAGGCAAAGAACTTTTTAATACACTTATGATTTTTGCATCTAATTACTATTTCTATATCTACAATGTACCAACACTTATATGACAGGTATGTCAATTATTACACCTAAGCAAATGGTACGTTTTTTCCCCTGTCAAAACTTGTAAAGGGCACAAAATAAACACAGTATCCAAATTAAAGAGTCTGGAGATAACGAATTTATTTATATGTATGTATATATAGACATATATACATACCAACACATACACATCATTTTAAATAAGTGACAAATTCATTACTAATTAAGATGAAGATATTAGACAATATCCAAGCATAATGTGGCACTACAAAGGTAAAAGCTAACTCAGTTTTCCAAAAG